CATTATTTTGGATACCTTTTAGCCATGGAAATTTGTTCAAATAACTATACAGGGTGGTCCGAAAATTATTGAAGACAGAATAACTCAGATAGATGTTATTCTGACTACCTTAGTGCAATTATTAATATTAACGAAGGGGAAATAGTGTAAAGATAAATTTTTATTGAATTTTTTTCTAAAAATCAACAATTGTTGTTTCTCCTTAAAAAAAAAACAAGTCTGATATTAAGGATGAATTTAAAGTTCTGTCTTCCATTATTAATGGACCATTTTGCATGAGCTGTTAAAAAAATGTACTTTTTAAACATTTTAATATCCGTATGTTAAATAGTAATGTATTAAGATCGAAATATAAAATATTTTGCTTTCAAATATCTTTGCTTTTATATTCTTGCCAAAAAAATTATACTTAATCATTATCATGTTTAATTACGTACAATATTTAAATAAAAATATTTTTTAGGCAAGATGTTTTAAAATTATCTTAACGTTTACTTTTAACAATCTATTAATTAAACTGTATGGAAAGTTAAAGTGTAGTATTTTGTTTTTAAATTTTTTGCTAATGATTTCATTGTTTGTTTTTAAATTCCTAATAAAATTAACAATTTTAGACAGCGTATATAATTTTTATTTATAATTTTACATTTTCTTAGAAGCGGCCATCTTGTAAATAATTAGTGATGATGAAAGTAGGTCAAAACTTTTTTGACTACACTTTTTAGTCATTTTAATTAGAAAATATGACGATTAAGCAAGAAAAATAAGCAAGAAAAATAAGCGTAAAAATAAAAAATGTCAGGCTGAATATTCTGATACGTCCTCTAATTAAGACAAGGAAGAAGAAGACGAAGAATATGTATAATAACGTTTAATACTTCATTACATGTTTAATTAAAAAATAACCTAATATTTTCATGTACCCCATTTTACCCACCATTTGGCAAACGAGGTATTTGAACATTTTCAAAAATATCTATTTCTGTCCATACGTAATTTTTATTAAATACTCAATATCTGTTTTCTGGTACCTGGAGACACTTTTTAACTACATCATTGTGTAAAGTATTTTATTTATTACAAAATCTCATTTTATGTCACAAAATGTGATGGGGTCCCCATTTTGGGCAACTCTCCCCTATATTTGGTATAATGGACCTATTTTGGTCCAAATAATCCAATTCTAGTTTATGTTCCAACACTTATAACTCGCCCTGTATATAGTTTAATATTTCTTTAGTGCATTTTCTTTAAAATGTATTAATACAATTAATCTGAAAATATAAAGTTAGCAACACTATAAAAAATAATATTTACTTGGTAAATTATTTTTAATAGGTAAACGGAATGCACGTTGAGGAATGTTCTCGTATTTTAACAAATTTTAGACTGTTAATAAAAACATATAGGTTTAACGTTAAGAAAATTTTAATTTGTAGATATTTTAGAAGCTCTTTTGTTTTACTTGATATTTGCTAGTATATTATAATTGCATAATATATTATTCAGGCTATAATAGTTATTTTAACATTATATTAATATTACTGTAAATAATTATCACATTAACGACAAATCTACAAAGTACCTATGTTTCTATTACCATCAAGGATCCTATAAAGGCACTATTTTGCAATGGTAACATATAAGGTAGGTACTTATAATACTTCAACATGACTATAAACAGTCATAATCACATACAATCCTATATGCTGAAAATTAGGTCTATTCTAACAAATAAACTAATTAACTAATTGAATATATACTTAATACTTATTAGAGAATCACCAAAAGACTTAACTTTTCACATAAAAATAATACAGAAACCTGCTTCGCATGTATTTAACAATACTGTGCCGATGCTACAGTAGGTACTACTATTTGTTCATTTTTAATGTAAAAGAATAATAAAAAAAATATCAGGTTATTCCTTATAAATCTTTTAAAATATGATAATGGAAACAATAAACAACAAAATGAGGTTATCTAAGCATTTAAATGATATACAATACCAAAATTACAATCTGAATAAATAAAATGTTAAAGACGAAAGAAGAAAACTATTTGGCATAGAATCATATACTGGTTATACTAAAACAATAATTGTGTTGTATTGTGACCGTTTTCTAGGGGACCAGTTTTCCAGCCTTCAGTAAGAATGACTTCATCTTAACCCCTTACCGCATAGTGGGTCATATATGGCACAATACTTAGTTATACCTAACCGTTACGGTATTCTTGAAGTCAAGTTTGTAATCATATATTTTTTTAGAAAAAATAAAAAAATCATGTAGTAGGGGGTTAAAATCATATCTCTCTCTATATTACTCATCTATCGACCGACGCACTTTACTCGCAAATTTTCAATTAATTTAAATCAGCAGATCTACTTTGCGATATTTCTACTGAGTTAAAAATTTTTTTTGACTAGCTCATGACTAAAAGGCTCAAATGGTGTGAGAGATAATGAGGTACAACGCTTCACAGATGGAAGCACAGAAGATTTGGGTCTTGGGACAACAAATATTAGAATAAAATCATAATACTAGAGAGAAAATCAAAAAGCATACTAGAGAGAAAACAAAACACCAGAGAGAAAACAATAACAACGTACAATGAAGATAGTTCGTAGCTCATAACACTAGTGAACAATCGCAACGTACAGCGTGGACCCAGTTAATTTTAGGTAGATAATTTATTATATTAATATAGACTAATTTTGACTTTATGTTTCAGGCATCCTACAAAAAAATTCAAAAAAACAGACAAAAAACGGCTTCGGTCACCAAAAAAATCAAAAAACTACTAACAAAAACCAGTGCAAGCCACAAAAAAAATTAATAAAAACCTCAAAAACCCGGGCACGTAGGGCCCAACCCCTTGAGCACCAAGTCGCCGAACTGAGCCTAGTTCAGAGCGGAGATTTAAGGCCCAAGTAAGCAATTTTAGTTCGTGTATAAGCCACATTAAAATTATAGGAATAGAGCGACAATGCGTTGTCCTGAGTTTTGAATTCGGTTAGGAAACCATGTTGGGGTTTTATTACACAGGACCTCCACATGAAGAGCATTTGGCTGATAGGTATGCCCTATCGAGCATCAGAGTGCTATAGAGGAAAAAGGGATAGTCTGGAGCATTGGAGCGCGGTGGAGTGACTGCTGTTTTTACTCGAGTTAACACACCTCGCTACATTGAATTGTTAAACCCGAACGTAATTCTTATAGGTGAACATTTTTCACAGGCTGGGTTTAGACTTAGAGTGACCTAATAATTGAGTCAGTCGTAGTCCGCTGAGCTATCGAGATATGAAATTAAATTTTGAACATATTTAAAGTAATTTCTAGCATATGAACTAACAAACGAGTCAATAATTAATAGTTAATAGAACATAATCGTCTTATTCTTCTAGTTTTTAATCTTTTAATCTATTATTCCGATTCATAGCTATATTGTTACTTGAAAGGATTATCAGCTATCACTCAATGTTATTGGTGGACTTCCTTGTATATAATTTTCAACTAACTTTCAATATAACGCAATTCAATTCTTCTCGTGTGACGGTGCCATTGATGTCATCCTTACCTTCCCCATAATATTATATTTTACACCATAGTTACCATTACATAGTTTTGAACGCTATATTTTTTCACAATTTAATTTTTCTTGTGTAGTATAATTTTCATTTTATGAGTATATTCCCTCGTTTATATTCCATATGTCATAATAAGTATAAGTCTTGTGTATTTTTTACTGCCGTATATTTTACAGGAAATTGCCGATTGAAGAAGTCAACTTCTAGATATTTCTACAGTTTTTATCACTGGTTTGCATTTATGCAATTATATAATTTTATTAGATATGTAGCGAACCTAAGATGAATTTATCAATACCGAGGATAAAGATCAGAGTTAGAGAGCCAATGAGATGCAAACCAGTGGTCAACAAAAACACTGTGGAATATATATCATTTTACTCCAGTTGGGTTGGACGAAAAAAAGGTCCAATCTTGCATGGACAGCTGCTTCAAATTTTATTATTCTAAACTTTAGGGGGGTCAATAGTAGTGTAAATTTAAAATCGCGACTAAATGCAACGATTGCGTTAGCCGACATCTTGAATTTAGGAGAACTGTTTTTGCTCAATGTCTTTGCCAAACTTTCCAACAAAAATGGTATGGTCTGAAATTGTTGAAAATGCGATTTTGTGGATGGTAGTGGAAGATGGACGGAAGCATAATTGTTAAATTATCTCGGTTATTATTAACTGTTGGCCATGACTGATCATAAACAAAAATGGAGATTCATAAATATCTCTTTAATTTTTTTGCTCAAAATCAATATTTGAGGTCGTAAGTATGCGGTAAAGGATTGCGTGGATAACTTTGCGTGGATTGGTTATATGGTAATTGGTTTTATTTAACGTCATTTTAAACTTTTCGACAAAATGGCACAGGCTCACATTGTTGTTATTGCTATTTCGTACAATTTTTTTTTGCAAATTTTTTCACGCTGTCGATATTTTCCGAGAAAATTATTTGTTACATTCCAATAAAGTCGTCCCAGGAAGGCATTTCAAAAGTATTGACACTATCATTTTAAAGTTACAATCTACTTTAAAGTTATCTACTTTAAAATGTATAATATATATAATAATAATATAAAATTTAATTATTCAATTGAAAAACATTCAATATTTAATAAATTCAATTTTAAAAATTAAAATTAATTAATTTTTGACATTTATAAATAATGTCAAAAAACCAGAAGAGAAGAATTTTGAATATCTGGTTTATCAAGTGCCATTTCGTTACTGCTTTCTAGTTCGGTTAAAAAAAAAAGAAAAGAAAAACGTATTTCATATACATGATAATAGCTACAAGAGAAATTTGAAATTAAAAATGTATAATAATTTAATATAAGTTAATAACTACTTAGAATAATTATATATTAAAACATAAAGAATCAAAATGTTCAGATGGTATCAATAAGCTTTTTTATAATAACTTGTTTATTAAAATGTTAAAATCATATAACCATCTTTAATTACTATTAAATCATATTGTTTCCATTATCATAATTTTTAATATGGATTTTATTCCTAACTAAGAATAATGAGTTGTAAATATTTTGGAGCCTAAAACTCTTTCATGTTTTGATTGCACTTTATATACTCTTTGTTCGTAATCAACTTAGGACCTAGAATATATTTAGAAATTCGCCACCCCACCTCCTCCATCTGGTGTCTCTTATTGTTTTCCGGCATGACATCGTCCAAAATTCTCAGTTCTCTTCTTGTAAATATCCAATCCAATGACTTTCTAATTCCAATCATTACCACTAACATCAAAGGAAAGAGAATTGATGTTTGGCTAAAAGATTTTACCATCCACAGGCAAATTAAGCAAGTCAATTGTATAATTGTGAATAAATGAACTTTCTTTATTGGCACCTGGAAAACACGATAATATATTTTATTAAAAGAAACGTGATGGCAAACAATATAATTATTAAAATATTTAAAATTTTAATCTTTTGGCCTAAGAAATCCCCTTATCATCCTTTCGATGACAACCAGCATGCCTATCAAGGAGGAAAATCAACTAAAACATCAATGGACAAAGTAATTGAGAAACTCATTCACTCTATTAATAATAAAGAGATTGCTTTACTTTTTATACATAGAAAGCGCATTTAGTAATGCACTACCAAATTCTCTTTATTGTGCAACAGCATTGTTCCTGGAGCCACATCCAAAAAGCTTCTCCTACGTAAGCAACGCCTTCTGAAGAACGCGGTAAGAAGAAGATTTTGTAGACTTGCATTGTTGCGAAAGGTTTTCAGAAAAGCGTTTAGTCCTCCGGCTGCAAAAGGGTTCAGTCAGCCGACCGACTGAAGCCTGATTTCAAAATAAAAGAAGGATATGTCACCATAGGGAGATTCCCCCCAATTTTACAAGATATACAACATACCATCCACCTAACAGCTAGGTTTGTTATGGAAATAGTTTATTAATCCACCAAAATACACTTACTTCACCTCACACCCTCCTCCAGCTATCCATAACTAGCTCCATGATATAAACTACCTGGTAGTTGACACTCCTACCAAACATGACCTACCAAACAACAACAATATTATAATAAACTTTGAGGGTATACAAGGCAACTATCGAACACGGTGATTAATTTAATCTTGCCCAAGCGCTTTCGATCAATAGATCATCTTCAGGGGCATTTCGTCAATTGTGGACTATCCGACATACTAGAATGTCATAAAAGTAAAAACTGGACATAACAATACAAAATACACTACACTAAGACAAACAAACACTTTAAAATTTATATGGCGAAGCTACATATTGTGAAGAAGCCGGAGACAGAAACACAACTCTTCAACAAGCTTTCAGCAACACAAGACTTCTTCACAATATGTAGCTTCGCCATATAAATTTTAAAGTGTTTGTTTGTCTTAGTGTAGTGTATTTTGTATTGTTATGTCCAGTTTTTACTTTTATGACATTCTAGTATGTCGGATAGTCCACAATTGACGAAATGCCCCTGAAGATGATCTATTGATCGAAAGCGCTTGGGCAAGATTAAATTAATCACCGTGTTCGATAGTTGCCTTGTATACCCTCAAAGTTTAATTATTCGAACATTCAACCTTATATTGAAATATTATAATAATCTCCTACTACAAACCTCCAAACATACCCTTTTTCGTACCTCGTGTTGAGTACTTTTTCACACTCAACAAGGCGGTTTTAATGGGCGATCTTAATAGCTTAATAGCAGACATACTTTATTTGGTGATACCTCCACAAACGTCCCCAGCAGAATGCTTTCAGACCTTTTTCTAGAGCTGACCATTTCTAGAATCACCAATAAAGAAGTCACGTTGTAAAGCAAATTGGGAACTATTCCAAGAACGCATCATCCAAAACCTCTCAGAGTTAGATAACATGTCAACGATTACTCAAGTTGACAAAGGGATTTCCAAAATTGAACAGCTTCTTTAAGACGCCACATCACTAGCTATTCCAATATTTCGATTTAATCTATATACTCCAGTTCTCTCACCAAAAATCTTAGAAAAAATCAAAGCGAAACGTAAAATGATCAGAGAGTATGAAAGATTCCGAGACGCCGTCATCAAAGCAGAATATAACAGACTCTCGACGTCAATACAGTTAGATGTAAACAAGCTGAAACAAAAACAGTCGATGCAAGTTACAGCCAACCTAGACTACCGGAAGGGTGCTAGATTCTAAAACCAATTCAAAATCCTAACGAAAGACCACGTCCAAAAACACACTCCAGGCCGCACTACTACCCTCAGGCTCACATGGAGCTCATCCTCATCCAATGATGGCCCCTGTGACTGAGGACACCATCAGTGAGATGTGTAACATAGGCAAAAACACATCTCCTGGCGCTGATGGCATTCACAGAAGATGCCTCAAAAATCTTCCAGAGAATATATAATATATAATCAATGCATTTCTTCCGCTGAGCTACTTTCCAATCACTCCATAAATAACAACAGCAAGTTCCTAGTATAGCTGATAACACCTTGAAGTACCCCCCTTTGGATTATTTCGCTTACCAATAATTCCTCTAATGCGCTCTTCTTCACAATACACCACCTTCTAAACCCCAGCTTTCTAACACTTCACCACTACAACCCCACACGCATATCGCCCTTACCTTTACCACACCCCCTGTATCGACAGAAAAAAAAAGCACCCCTTTATTGAAGGCCAAGAAGCAAGAAGGTAAAAGCATGAAATCATCATAGGGAGGTTTGGGTCTTGGTCAGAATTAACCCATATCAGCTCCCTAGGTGATCTGCAGAAAACTTCGATCAGCCCAATCAAAGTTTCCTCGGCGTTTGTGTCCCAATATTTGGTATGTATAATGGGAGCTATATGGAAGCCGCAGTAGAACTAGACTGCATTGGCTTGAAAAATGTACCCTTTTATACATTTTCCTTTGATACTGATATGTGCATTTCCAAGTCAATTGGCCAATCGTAAATTGTATAGAAGATAAAAGGCGCATCGACGTGCTCATTGCTCCACAGACTAAGACGATTCGAAGGGCTCTCCAGCTTCAGTTGAAGAGACTACTTTTAGTTTCCAGTGCTACAACGACGTTTTTCTTGTTTTATACCGATTCAAGTCAAAGGCATACGTTATCGTTCTTATTAGAACAAGAACAGTCACTCGTTATTTCCATTCAGTCTGGTGGAACATTGTATTCAAAACAACAATAAAGCTTTTTACAGTTCTTTATTTAAACCGTTCTTTGTCTTTTATTTGTACCAGTCACAAAAGGATACCACGAAGACGTCTCCTCTAAGAGGAAAAGAAGGGGCGACCACGAAGATTTTTTATTGGACCAATCGTCTAGCGAGGATTTGCGTGACCCAAACCACAATACTTCTAAAGTTGCAATGAGGCAAAAAATATTTAGCAGTCCTATTATTGCCTTTAAATAATCATTTATTTATTATTGTTACTCACCTGTCTTAAAAACATGTAATCAGGCTGATATTTATTTGGCATAAACATAATCAGCATTCTATCGAAAAATTGCAGTCCTTTTAGGGAAGATATCCCCATGTACAGAAATACTCCAAATAACACAGGCATAGGTATATGTCCCAACATAGGTGTCAAGAATACTGATAATCCAATGGACAAAAATATTAAAATATGTGTCACTCTCTGCTCTCTAACGCCTAAAAATTGTGGTTTGTCACCTGGAGCGGCGCATTCTGTTTCCAATTTCAAAGAGTGGACGTGGGTTATGGAGAGCACGGTGGCTGCTACAAACCATGGTAGTCCCATAATTGAACAGATTTCGATGAGGATTGCCAGAATGAATAAATCTAAATGATACCCACAACCTGCAACAAAACAGTTGTTTATTATAAAAAACACTAAAAGGATCTAGTTAAAGCAATATACTTTTTTTGTTAGGAATAAGCCAGAATTTTACTTTTAAATTAAATTTATTTGTATATATATATATTCGGTTTCATAACGTCTTACGACGTTGTCCGACTCCCAAACGCCACTGTATTCTGTCTTGAGTTAGGTCTTCGTCCAGATTTCGAACGCTAATCGCTTTCCTAACTCCCAGGTTCCAGCTCTGTGGTGGTCTTCCTCGTTTCCTCTTCTCTGGGGGTTGCCACATCATCGTTTTTTTAGGCAATCTTTCGTCCCCCATTCGGCTCACATGCCCATACCATATGAGCTGTTTTCTCTCAATATCCTCAACTATAGTGCCCTCTATACCCATTTGTTGTTTTATCACTTTATTCCGTATTCTGTCGGCTCTTGATATTCTCATCGATCTTCTGATGGCATCCATTTCCGTGGCTTCGACCTTTTTCTTATATTTCTCGGTTATTCTCCATGTCTCAGCTCCATAAAGTAGGCTAGTTTTAACCATTGTCTCATAGATGTTCCATTTCCTTTTCTTTGTTATTTCTTTACTCCATAGAACTCCGTTCAAATATGCTATAGCTCTTCGTGCTTGTACAATTCGATGTTCTATTTCTCATTCGTCTTTTCCACTACGGTCGAAGATGACGCCCAGGTATTTATATTCGTCACATGGATTTATTTTTTGATTGTCATCGATATCGAGTTGTTCTGCTTCAGCTCCAATTGAGAGGTATTTTGTCTTTTCTAAATTGATATTTAATCCCCATTTCTGAGATTCTTCAATTAGTTTTCTAAGCATGTATTCCATGTCGTCTTTGTCATTTGAGATCACCACCTGATCATCTGCAAACTGTAAAGTATATATGTAATCCTGATCGTTCAATTGTATACCCATTCCTTTGACTTTCCTTTTCCATTGTTTCAGAGCTGCAGAGATATAAATCTTAAATAGAGTCGGAGAGATACAACATCCTTGTCTGAGACCCTTAGTAACTGCAAATTTTTCAGCTACGAGGTTTCCGAATTTCATTTGGGAGTTTGAACCATAATATAGATCTTTGAGAGCACTAACCAATGTTTGATGTATGTTTGATGTGCCCAGGACTTTCTATAGTTTATTTAGCGGGACTGTGTCATATGCCTTCTCAAGATCTACAAAATTCATATGTAACTCTCTATTTGTCACAATTTTCTTTTCTATAATTTATTTAAGACAGAAGATGTTATCTGTACATGAACGACCTGCTCTAAATCCTCCTTGTTCTTCGTCTTCAGACGATTGATAATCTTCCTCTATCAGGTGCCGTAGCATTCGACCGTATAGTCGACTCATTGAACTTGTGACCGATATCCCTTTATAGTTTTTACAATTTCTCCTGTCACCTTTTTTATATATTGGGGTCATATATGCTGTTTTTTATTCATCTGGTGTTGGATGTCCATTAATATATTCGTTAAATATCACCGTGATCATTCTTTATTAATTCCGTAGTTACTCCCTCTGGTCCACTTGCTTTCTCATTCTTCATCCCTGCTATAGCTTTTTGAACTATGTTGATATCTATGGTAATATGCTCTCCCAGAATTTCGATTCTTGATGAATTCATATCTTCTTTAAATTTGTCTCTGTTCTCATTTAATAGATGTTTGTAATAATGTGTCCAATCCTCGGGATTTATGGGATATTGGAATTTCTCGTGTAATCCTAGAGAGCGCGTCCCCAGGTGGCGGATAGGGAAAAGCACTTACCAGAATCAGCTGGCGGGTAGGTGGAAAATAAAATACTACCCGCGGACAAACAGGTAGGGCAGACGATACCCTTAAGCTGCAGTGAAAGCAAACCGTCTAGAAGAAGGAAAGCTTCAAAATCAAACTTTGGTCCTCCAAGTTGGGGGTTGGGGCATCGGGTTAACCCCTCGATACTCGTCAAAAATAGTAAAGGTTAAAAACTCCAAAATTCAGCCTCGGTACCGGACTGATATACGACGACGAAAAATGCTACGGAACAGGAAAATTATTTTTGCTACATGGAACGTCCAAGGGATCCAAAGAAAGCTCCAGAAATCTTAGAAGGACTAAACAAAATGAAGATAGACATAGCTGTTATTACGGAAACCGAACGAAAAGGTCAAGGATCGGAAAACCTAGGTAAATACGATCATTTCTACACCAGAGTCACAAAAGAACGTAGAGCTCAACAAGGAGTCTCCATTATGATACACGGCCGCTTCAGAAAATACATCACATCATGGGAAGGCATCAACAAAAGAATGATAAAAATGAATATATGTATAAAAGGATACAGACTGACCATTCTGGGAATATATGCAATCAATGACGATGCTATTGTAAATGTGAAAGATAACTTTTTCGAACAACTGAATGAAGAAATCACAAAGGTGGATAACACAAGAGAAATAATAATCTTGGGAGACCTTATTTTCTTAAGCAGGCGAATGCCTCAGATTTTGATGGCATCATACATTTGCTATTCTTTGCTTTTCATAGGGCTGGTTTTATCTAATCTATTGTGATTTCTCAGTAGAAATGGTTCACAGTGCCGTTTTTCCTTGTTAATATTTCTGGTAGTTGATCTTCTCTTTTGCTTTGTGTTTGCTTGTATACAGCAATTTGTAGAAGTCTTCAACTATTTTAAGGATTTCCTCCCTGTTGGTTGTAAGATGACCATTTCTATCTTTAATCTTTATTATCTGCCTTGTCCCCGTTCTTAGCCTTTTTCTCAATACTTTCAGTTTACTTTCTTACAGCTTCGCAAATTTCTTTATTTAATTTTTGTAGTTCGTCGGCTTTAGTTTCCATCTCGCTTCTCATTTCTCTTTTTTTCTGCATTAATTGCCTGCTATTTTAGCTAATCTTCTCTTCTTTTTGAGTTATAGGATAAAATTTATTTTGACTTTCCAATAAAGTATTCGTTAATTTATTATTTAAGTCGCTAATATTATTTTCTGTTTCAGGACTACTAAATATGTCGGAAATACATTGCTGAAAACTATCTACATCTGTTGGTTTCATCCATGTTTTTGATTTGCTCTTCTTTTTAATCATCTTATACCTCTCCTTCTTTAAGCTTATTTCTAATTTACCTTGTGATCGCTACTGTGACCTTGTATGATCGCTTCTGGTAACAAATCTGTTTTTAGAGGTAGAAAATAAATAAAACAAAACACAGAGAAACGTTTGAAAAGAAATGTAGATGGAGGGGGTGGGAGAAAGGGAGTTTAAATACAATTAATTATATTAATTAACTTTCATAGTGGCTTAATTTTTCCTTCTTTTAAATACATATTTTATAATTAAAGTATGTGAAACCTATAGCAATGTGCTGAAAAATGTGTTCTGTTTCGTCACTACAAAATTCGCATACGAGGGAGGCTATTCAAAAAGTTAGACCACGAGTTTTTTCACACATAAATTTCATGAATTTATTATAAATAAGGTAGATAGCCCTATTTGGAGCATTTTTTTTAACCTATTCTCTATCCTTCCATTGTTGGATATAGGTCTCCCCCAGTTCTCTCCATCTTTCCCTATCTTGAGCTGTTCTCTGCCATGTGGGACCTCCTTGTTTCCTGATGTCATCTTTCCACCTCATCTGTGGTCTGCCTCTTGATCTCTTTGCATTGTATGGACGCCACTTTCCGATGGCATTGTTCCATCGTCCGTCTTGGAGACGTTCATTGTGTCCAGCCCATTTCCATTTCAGTTTTGCTGCTTGTTCTATCGCGTCTACTGTCTTTGTTCTGGTTCTGATCCACTGGTTACGTTTTCTATCTCTAAGTGATACACCCAACATTTGTCTCTCCATCGCTCTTTGTGCCTTCCTTATCCTATGCAAATTTTCCTGTGTAAATGTCCATGTCTGTGCTCCGTAGGTGAGCACCGGTATTATGCAGGAGTTATATACCTTGCTTCGTAAGTATAGAGGGATTGTTTGATTTTTTAAAACGTAAAAAAGTTTGCCGAACGCTGCCCATCCCATTCTTACTCGTCTCGATATTTCGGCGGTTTGATTTTCTCTGTTAGCTCTGGAGCATAGTACTGTATTATTTTTACCTTTATCACGTTAGTCATCGCTAATATTTTGTTAAGTATGCTACTATTATCAGCTACAAATATTAAATTACCATAGTAAATCGAAAAAAAAAAACAAAGGCCACTGAATTAATACAAAGGGATTTAGAGATCATCGCAATACAATGATCTAAATAGGAGGTAGTTGGATAATTAATACAACATATAATTTTGCTACACTAACACAGCCATTTAAAATTAGTACAATATTTACCTTTTTTAAGTTTAAACTCCTTTCTGTTAACTATAACTGCAGTTATTTGTTGATCCATGAATATAAGAATGGTACCTAGTAGTGCCGGCGGTATTGCTACAAATACTGAATAAAGTGGGTTATGGTTGAAAGGTGATATGACCCAGCCTCGACCAGGAAGGGTTGGTTTGAATTCGTGCGGTACTTCTAGTTTCGGTGTCGAAATACCGACATACATGTCTAGCACAGTCATGGAACATATAGCTATTATAACAGCAAAGTCGCTTATAAATTGACGTACCTACAAAATAAAAAAGAATAATCAAAAACCTCAAATTTTCAATAAAAAATACTAAATAACAAAGTTAGGTTATGTCAATCCTAGTAAAATACATTAAACTCATTGACCTACCAACTAGACAAGGTGTAGATCAACCAGATATTAATTTTAATAAAAATCTCTATTGGAAGCAGACATCCTCAGTCAAAATTGACAAAACTATGTCCGGTAATGTCTCTTTGAGAAGAGGAGTGCACCAGGAATGTGTTCTCCCCCTTCTATTTAGTGTTTATTCTAAAAGACTGTTCTAAAGTGCACTTGAAAACATCCAACAAGACAATTAAGTTCTTAACGAGGTAGTAGAAGAAAGCGAATTCTTTGTTTTTACAATTAACACCTGTATTGTATATGGTGTCCTGGACAGAACATATAACCAATCTGTCAATTCTGAGATATCTTCATATAAAAGACAGGCTAATAAAAAAAGTAAACCAAGCATAGCTAATTTACTTCGGCCACATAACTAGCAGAACGGGGACTGTGGAACTATTGGTAGTAAAAAAAAGGTAGATAGCCAAAGACCAAGAGAAAGATTTCTAACATTATGGGCAGATCAAATGAAGACACTAGTGAAAAAATCCCTACATGAGCCTTTCATATGACACAAGACATAAGCCAATGAAGAGAGCAAGCTAACAAAGTGTCACCACGCCCTGACAAGCGCTCAATAAATAAGGAGGAGGATTGTGACGTGACTTTTGCTAACCAGATTTGCTCAATCGTTTTTTTCTTATCTTTCAAAGTTAGACCTCTTATATCTAACACCGATACCCACAATATACTATTTTAGATTTTAGAGTTTTCATTTGTATTTCTTCGAATTGTTAATCGTAAGCAGATGAACGGAGATTAAAATGTCAATAAAACTTAGTAACATTATTGTCAAGTTATCTTTACTTACTTTGGATGGAAAGAAGAGAGCATTTTTAAAGTCTTTTAGTTGTATTGAAATAAAGAAGGTTCCAAGGAATAGCAAAACTGACATCAAAAATATATCCGGAGTATATGGTGGTAGAAAACATCCTTCAGACAGCGTTCCGTTTAATTTCTAAAAATTAAAAGTAAAATAAATTATGACAGGAATATTGTTTATAGAAACTATCTTACCTGGCACATTGTTTGATTGACAGTAGTGGAAGTAGACATATTCAACAGCATCGGTGGTGTAGTATCATTCCAAGTGCACGAACATTCATTTATATTTATATTGTTTATGTCTACAGTAATTGGAAATTTCTTTCCAATGGCCCATACGTTTTCCACTGCCTATATAAAGTTTTTATAAGGATTATTGATGAAAGCAAGAATCATTTGATGTAATATTTTAAATATGCAATAAGTGTGAGCATAAGTAGTATCAAAAACTGTTACATCTGAATAAACCTAAAGCAAACTAATTAAAATGGATCAGAATAATTAGAGAATCGTGTTAAGAAAATAGCATGATTCTAGAAGTGACAAAAAGTTCCTGTATATTTGTACCAATTATTATTGATTAGCATAGAGCATTGAACAGCCTTCTGTTCGATTATAACCACAACCAATACCACTATTTCCTTTATTGCAAATAACAAAAATGAAACGACTTTGTAGAATAGCTAAATAAACTCTCATGTAAGCAAAAACTAAGAACATAAGGCATATACACAAGTTCAAAGATACCTGGGTATTAAAAAAAAAATAGCAAAATAAAAACAGTAACAGGATAGAAGACGGAAGAGTGGTTAGAATTGTTGGAAAAAAATCAGCAGTGAGACATTGAAGCATAAGTTGTCCCCAAAAGAGGTGAAACGATGACCTAAACAAAGAGAATACAGGTGTATAAATATGAAACAGCCAATTTTTTCAATATAAAGAACGAATAAGGCGATAATTTACTCATATATCGAAATAATGAAATCTAAAGAAAGCTATATGGGGTGGGTTTTCTGCGGAACTGGATAAGACTCTAGGCTAGGTACCCTCTACAATAAGAAATTACAAAAGATTCTTTGAAGCCGTAATAAGCACGGCCAAAAAGAATAAACCAAGAGACTATCGAAAAGAATACATTCCTAGTTGATCCCACAATAGTGAAGAGCTGTACCAAAATTTTCTTAAAGGCGGCGATGAAGAATTAGCTGATGAACTGCTCCATAGCCCAAATACAGCAAGACAACAAAAATGGACGGAAACTGTAGAAAGTCTTAATTTTCAAACATCTAGTAGGTAAGCATGGACACTACTAAGAAAATTAGGAAGCGGAACTCCCATAACAAAAACAAAACAACCATTAACCCAAACACTATTGCCTTACATCTGGTATCGACATCTAGGGCCCCGAAAGACAAGCCACACGCAATCAAGGTAAAACGAGAGCTCAAAACTTTCAAATTCCAATCTACAGAAACCGAATACTCCCACCCTTTAACTTGCGTAGAAGTCACTATAGCTCTTAAGAATGTAAAGCTGGTAAAGCCCCAGGTCCATGGATGGCCCACTTTTTCACAGACATTATGAAGACCATTACCATACCACAGAAACTCAAAGGCTCGAAGTTCAATGACATGTTAAAACCAAGGAAACCGGATGATAACAACCCAAAGAACTACAGACCAATAGCTCTACTATCGACGACGTTCAAGCTACTATAACGACTTATCTACAACAGAATTAGTCCAAAGCAACTTGAACCAATACTGGTTGATCAAGCAGGTTTCTGACCAAAAAGAAGCTGCGCAGATCAGGTTCTTTCACTTACCACATTTATTGAGGCAGGGTTCCAGAAAACACAAAACTGCAGCCGCATTCATGGAACTAACAGCGGCCTATGATACAGTCTGGAGATAAGGCATGATATACAAGCTACTCCCAACAATCTTGTGTAAATCCACTGCTCGAATAATCAACAGCATGCTAGCCGACCGAACGATTCAAGTAGTCATGGGAACTGACATCAACACCCCAAGAAAACTAAAGAATGGACCACCTCAGGGATCTGTCCTAGCTTCTCTTCACTTTAGCCTGCACATCGCTGATATATCGGAAACCACGTGAAGGAAGTTTAATTACGCCGATGACTGGGTTCTTGCAACAAGGTGTAAGTCATTTAAAGAAACAAAAGAAATTCTCAAGGCGGACTTACACATAGTGGGAAAGTATTTCGGTAAATGGAGGCTCTAATCAAACGCTACCAAAACAGAGGTTTCCAGAGTCCACCTAAATATCAAGTTTGCAGGAAAAACACTCAACATCCAATTTGAAAACACCACTCTCGCCTAAAATTAAACAATAAAGTACCTAGAAGTGACTTTTGACGGAAACCTATCAAGGAAAATCTGTTAAAAACAGAAGAAAAACTTAAATCCAGAAACAACATCACCCAGAAGCTGTGCGACACAACATGGGGAGCATCAGCTTCCATCTTGCGATCATCTGCCCTGGGCCTTGTCCTTTCAACCGCGGAATACTGCTTTTCAGCCTGGCTTAACAGCTCATATATACTTAAAGTATAAAAAGTAATAAAAACAGCACAGACTGCTGTGGAAAATGAGTTCAACTTAACGACCACTTGGACTGGAGAATAAATGAAACACAACAAAATAGCAGCTTACCCTACATCACACAAAAACATTCGGGTTTTCACTTCCCACGCAACACATGGACTATGCTAAACCGAATCAGAATCCAACACGGCAGATGCGGTTACATGATACACAAATAGTGTAAACGACTATCCCCACTCTGTGATTGCGGACAACCACAAATCATCTGTCACATCACAGAACAGTGTCCCACAAAATCCAATCAAGGTAGGTCAGAGGATTTCCTAATGGCGACTCCAGAATCGATAGACTGTATAAATAAGTTAGATTTTCGTTTGTAAACATATGTATTATGTTTTATACAAAATATATGTAAATTTAAATGAAGATCTGTCAAGTGCCATACGTTAAATAAACAAATAAATCGAAATAATTTACAAAACTTTGTCAAATTTCTCTAGTAGGCTTTCAAAGAAGTACTCTATTTCTTCTTAGATACAAAACACTTCTTTGATTTGGGAAAAATATAATGTCGACCATAAAACAACTTTTAAATAAATCAGGATAAAATACAAGAATTCAACATAATCTGCACATGATCTTATTTTACACAAATTTTCAAGTTTACCTAAAAACGATAATAAATAATAATTTTGATTTTACTTACTTTATAAATAAATATGAACGCAATCAGTGTTGCAAAATTTTCTTCCGTGAATCTGGTAATATAACACACAAAAGCACTAGCGTCTATAGCAACTAATATCATTAAGATAATGGCAGTCCACGTTCCTATCCAGAATCTAAAACTCATATAATCCCATTTCATTGTACCACAAAAGTCATAAACTATTGTTTCAAATACTAATACTGGTCCCGTTGATCCCAATATGGACAACGGTTGTCCCGAAAAAAGACCATAGCCAATACCGCAAACAAATCCGGATACTAGAGATTCCATAGCAGCCATATTTTTTCCTGTAGCTTCGGATAAAAGTCCACCGAACGTAATAATTGGTGATAAACATGCGAAGTATAAAAATATCCACGAAGCTATGCATTGCATAGCAAACGCGTCCTTAAAATCAGATAAATAAAATGGAGTCTTTCTTTTAATATCATTTATCAGTCCCCCGAATAACACTCCGGTTCTGGCTAAACCAGACTCTTCTCTTAGCCTTTGTTCTTCTTCCTCCTCATCAATTTCTTCGACCAATTTTTCAGGCGGTCGTTTTCGTGAATCTTGGGAAGGAATAGCGGCAGGTGGTTCGATTCTGATGGCTGGATCCCATTCACCGGGAGGTAATACTGTAACTGCGTCAAGAAATTCATCTACTCCTGCTAATATATGACTCCGACTACGGGCCCGATATGCTACTTCGTGGAAAACCTCGTCTGACATTAGTGTAGCCATAGCACGACCAATTTCATGGAAACCTAAAAAAAATGTATTGGGTTTAACTTATGAAACAAATTTATTTCTTGAATCAGATTTTTTTTATTAACGAATGATTAATAAAAAAAAAGGAATTTCGATATTAAGGTATAAACATTAAAAAATACAAAATTTCCAACTTTTCGATTTTGGTTTATTCCTAATACATCTCTAATAAATAGGGGAGAGGGGTGTAAAATAATATCCACGGGTTGAAATGATCCCTTTGTTTAAAAGTTCGCATTATGTGTAAAATAACTGTAAAACTGGCAACATTGTACTAGGCGGAGCGGTTATTAGGAGACTATCATCGGAAACACGATTTCCTTCAATCAAGTCTGGCATTACGGACTAGTTCGGAGGCTAATTGATATCAGGCTACCTCTACAATTCATTAAAATCTTACACTCTTACTTTATGAATCGAACTGTTAGAGTGAACATAAGTGATCAAATATCAACCACCTTTACTCCACGAGTTGGAATCCCCCAAGGCTTAGTGCTAGCACCCTTATTATATATAATATACAATAGCAACATTTCCATTATAAACATCACAGGTACCCAACTGTATCTCTATGCAGACGACATTGCCCTCCTCACAATGGTTATTTTCGGGAGAGAACTTTCAGAACAGCACAAACTCTTTTAAACGGTATCGAAGAATTGTGTAATAAGTGAAGAGTCACACTAAACGTTGCAAAAACACACACAATTGTGTTCCGCAGCCCTACAACATCTGTAAAAATCAATAGCAAAGGCGATGACGAATTACCCCTGAATCTCATGGGACAAAGTCCAACTTATATTGCCTTCTTAAAAATCATAAAAAGAAAAAACTGCTCGATGCGGAGCGCAGAATTCCTGCTCTGATCTAGGTCACGTAAGACCCTGGAAGCCCAAAATCAAAAAAACTTCACATTCCGTCTGTTCTAATGCAGGCCTGCATTGACGAACTTCCGAGTGAATACGCTGACATCCTCGAAGCTACTCCGCTAGCTTACCGAACGAGGCCGAGGCCTGGAAGTTAACGCAAGCGATCAATAACACGAATTTTACTACAATGCATTAGTTTTGAAGTTGGTAGCAGACATACAAACGTCTTGCAGGAACAAGGGTCACTAGAGACAGATTCGCACACATTCACACTCAAACACATTCACACACAAAACACCCACACCAGCGTGACAGTGAAAGGGGTCCTCTTTCTGCTACCGAAGCATCCTCGTCTGCTACCGAAGCATCTGGGGTCCGATGGGGCAATCTAAGCAGATGGAGCCAAAGTAACACCGAAATGTTAGCGCCCATCACTGTCAAGCTAACACACTGGGTTATCTGCGAAAAGCCGCCTCTTGAAAGCTGACGAGGCCTAGGCGTTAATGAAAACACCCAATAACAAAACTTTAGTGCAATACACTAGTTTCAAAGTTGGGTGTAGACGTAAAAACGGCTACAGGAACCAAAGTCACTAGAGCCACGACTCTGTCGCACTTAGCTCAAAAACACACACGACTTCCAGACACCACGTCGCGACAAGCCTCGTGCCTCTGATTCAAATAGTGACTCGATCTCAACAGCCTCCAAAATGTTCCACCAGAATAACACCGCTACCCCAGTTGTGTTTTTCGGTCTGTTTTGCTTTCGTTCAACACAAAAACACATTCAACTCCAGCCTGAAGTGGATCCAACGATCTTAAACGGGTACTCACATATATAAGATATCTTACATAAACGACACTATTTTTATATATTTAAATGTTTAACATTTTACGTATAGAAATTTTGCCAAAATTTTCAAATCACGAAAATATTTCAAATTTAATTTCACTACTCGAATATTGTAAATTTTATTCTCGATAATAAGTTCAAGTACTTGCCTAATTGTGTAGTAGCTACACAAAAAAGTAGTTCATATTCAGCACTAGGGTCGCAAAAAAGCGACAACACCCAAAATATTTAGAAAAGAAGGTACATATATTTTTACTATTGATAGCGATTTGTTTGAGACAAAAATTGGGCGGGTTTATAATATAGTACTAATACATTAATTGGTTAGTAGTTAGCGGATGATACACGACGTAATTTACGTTCAGACCAATGTCTCAACGTTCTATATAAAGTCTATTAGGAATAATTTATATTTAGTCCAGTTTTTGGATATTGGCAATTTTAATCTATATTTTGGTAGAGTAAGTTGAGTGCTATAAATCTCATCTTTTTTAATACCAAAAAATGTATTAAGCGTAATAAAATAAAGCTAAAAAATATAAACTAAAAAATAGCTTATTTCTTCAATACCCTTCCAGTTTAAATCATAATATTTTTGTATCAATTTTCCAACATCAACTACTTTTTCTTGTTTTACTTCTAAACTATATTTTTTTAATATACCAGGACAAAACTGATCCATATTTCTATTCTTTTTTGTGACTATTTATATTGATTCATATCATGTCGATAAACAGGAAAACAGGGGAACCTGTTTATTTTACTAGTATTGTTGTTGAAAGTAAACTAATTATTTATATCTAAACTTTGTCTGTAGGTAGATGTTTTCCTAAGTTTTCTAGTTCTAAAACGTGTTTAAAATAGCTTAATTCTTCAATACTCTTTCAGTTTAAATCATAATATTTTTTTATTAATTTTTTAACGTCAACTTTTCTTGTTTTACTGCTAAACTATGTTTTGGTATTATACCAGGACAAAACTGGTCCATATTTCCAAATAAGAAGTTAAGAATAAGAATAACAGAAACTTAAATTTAATATTAAACATCTTGGAAAAGATTGGTTATCCAAAACATATACTCAAGAAATTGATATTCAATTTGAACAGTCTGGAGTTCGCACGTTTACAAACAGAGGTAAGTAATATGGTCGGACCAAGTTAGGCTGCTGTTTATGATAACAGCAAGCTCATTATACGAGAACACAGGTTCTAATGGCTGCCCGTTAACAAAGTACGCCACAAGTGGGTTATTTTTACCAATTGGAAGCATTACACATTTTTTGGAGGGTTAGCTGATTTTTGTGGTTGAATTGGCATATATTTTTGTGTCATCAGCGTAGAGCGATATTTTACTTAAAACATAATAAGCAAACTCGCTGGTATAAACCGTAAAAAGCAGAGGTCCAAGTACAGAACCCTGATTCACTCCACTTTCCACTAACTTGTCCTGTGAGAAAGATTCGCCAACTCTAACTTTGTAATGTCGATCTGTCAGGACGTCATCTCTCCAACCAAGTAAAGTACCGCCAACTCCGAAATGTTCTAGGTTATGTAGAAGTCTGCGCTTAGGTACACGGTCAAGGGCTTTAGAAAAATTTAGATAAACAACGACGATCAGCTGCGAACTGTTAAGGGGTGACGTCCAGTCGTTAACACAAAGTAGGAGATTGGTTAGAGTAAAGCGACCAGAGACAAAGCCATGATGTTGTGTTGGAATAACATGTTTCCGGAGAAGGAATTTGGTCATCTCCTCGGAAATAATGTCTTCCATGATTTTGCCAACTACTGGCAGTAAGCTAATCGGACGATAATTGTTGGGGTCGAGTTTGTTGCCTTTTTTAAAAATAGTGGTGATGACTGCTAATTTCTAACTACAGGGTAAGGAGTTCTGGATGAAATAAGTTTGCGTAATTAACGTTAAAGGTAACGCAAGCGTGTCTGTGCATCTTTTTAACAGCTTTGGTGTTAAACTATCTAATAAGCCAGATGAAGCGGCTGTGCAAAATTCTGAATTATTAGTAAATTCTTTAGTAAAAACCTGTGAAAATGTTAAAGAGAGAGTTTAGAAAGATTCTTTGTCAGAGGAGCATAAAGTCTGGTTGGGTTTCTGAAGTAGAGGAATGAAAACTTTAGACGTCAAGGAGGACCATATGTATTTGTAGACTTTTTAAATGTTACCACTTTCAATAGCATTTGCTTCAAAATTTTGTCTTATAGTTTTTTGAGGTGATTGTAAGTTATTTGAAAATCTGCGGGGCTTTGGAAATCAGAGAAATCCGGTGTGTTTAAATTTCCTCAATAGATGTCGTTTGTGATTAATTGGTTTTATTGCTGTTGTTGGTTGTTTTAATAAACCTTACGGAAGGTGGTATTTGTAGAAATTATATTGTGGACGGTATAGAGAAATGCAGTCCACATTAATGAGGGGTCGTTTAAGTCTCCAAAATATAAATGCCAGTCGATTTGAAAGAGTTCAATGTCAACTTCAGAAAAGTTGGTAGCGTATGTTACAATATTATTTTTGCGGGGTAGTATTTGATTGAACTGGATGTGAGCCGTTATAACTGCATGATCTGACTTTCCTATAGGAGAACTGACTTCGAAAGATGAAATCAGCCGTTCGTCATTAATAAGCCCTAGATCTAAAGTAAATGGTTGGTTATTAATTCTAAATCTTGTAGGTTCTTTGATGAGTTGTATCAGGTTCGAATTTAGTACAAAGTTTTTAAGTTATTGGCCAGGTGATCTCTGGGAAAATAAAATCTCCAGTAATGATAAGATTAACAACAGATGATAGTTCTTCAAGATTTGTAAAGAAAACATTATCGTGTGCAAATTGTGTTAAGACAAAAATAATTTTTAGTAACAGATAAGTGAATTGCATCTATTCATGGAATATCTAATAGCTTAATGTTAATTTTGAAAGTTGTACTAATTTTTGATGGGTTTAAGTCAGGATTCGGAAATACAAATAATGTCTGGTTAAAGAAGTTGCACTGTGCATACAAATTCGTCAAACTTAGCGAAAAGTGAATCTAAATTAGTATATAAAAACAGCTAGTCATTAAATTTGTCGGTAGAAAAATTATATACTAAATTTTGTGATTTTGGGAGTGCCATTAATGTATTTAATAGTTCACCGTTATTTTTGCAAGTTTCTAGTTCACTTCGGAGTTCTTTTAAACGTACTTGTTGGATGGGAGTCTTGTCGTCAATTACTGAGAATTTTTCCGTGGCTTTGTTCTCCAAAAGTTTTGCTTCATTTCTCAGAATATCTTTAAGGTTGTATTCCGAACCCATTACTACATTTTTTCGTGATTATAAACTCCAAGTATTTGAATTTATCCTTTCCTTTGATTGCTACGTTTTCATCAATTTGTAGATCCTCTATGTCTTCTTCACTTGTAGATAGTGAGGTTAATATCTATGCCAGAGTTTCTTCATCTTATAACTGGGGTCGTTTTGGTCTTCTGCAATCACTACTTGATCATCTACAAAGCTTAACGTATATAGGTATTTGTTCTGTACCGGTACTCCCATGCCTTCACATTTTCTTTTCCATATAGTCAAGGTTTGTCTAAGTATATTTTTAATAGGGTTGGAAAGGTCAAACAACCCTGCAGGAGCCCTTTTGTTGTGGTAAAGTCTCCTATGATTCTTGTTCCCACTTTATTGGACACTTTATTTTCTTTATACAGAGCTTTTGTAGCTTCTGTAAGTTCCGTCTGAATTTCTAATTTGTACATTGCCTCCCATAGTTCTGACCATGGTACAGAGTCATACGCCTTTCTCAGGTCCACAATTGCCAAATGTATATCTCTATTTTTTGCTTCCTTTTCCAACAGTTGTTCCAGTGTGTATAGGTGGTCTATACGTGGTCAACAAAAGTGATTTTTATAGAGTGGCTCTGTTTGGCTAAACTTTATAATATGTAATATTTTATTATTATTGTGAAATTAAAAATGACTGGATTAGAGACTGAGATCTCCAGATGTCCGAAACCATAACCTATGGAAAGGAAAGCATGTGTAGATAAGGGAAATGAAGTATACTATACACGAAAATTGAGGGGAGGGATGATTTTAGTTAGAGCAATTATGTTACAAATGGTGTGGACGTTACTGTAAGTAATATATTAAATAATTAGAAAGATTCTGGTGTGTGGCTTGGTTTTAGATAGACCATGGACTTATCTGATTATGCTATTCGATATCAGTAAGGCTCATACAAGTTATGAATGTAGCTATGCAACCCACTATACAGATATCTGATTAAATGGTGGAGAAGTAAAGGTTTTTATAAAAGATTCTATAATGTTTTAAACAGGTAAACATTTTTTATTATATGAACACCTACACCGCGACATCTTAAAATAGGATAAAAGTTAAAAGACAAAATAGATAAATACAAAAAGAAAACAAGTAACAAATACTTTACAAAACAAAAAATAATATAGCTTAAAACTTTTCTTTCGTGATAGCAGAGAAAATAAACAAAAAGAAACTTATGCATATAAAAATATCTTACATCAAAACTTTTAAAGAATATTTTTAGGGAAAACCCTTGGTTGAATATATCGAGATAAGAGGATTACAAATATATTTTAAGATATGCACAGATGGACAGGATCTATCACAGGCAGACTTTTTTCCTAAAAATGTCGTATTTGCTCTTTTTATATATTCCACACATTTCAAGCAAAACATCAATATGAAGTAGCTAAAAATAACTAACGAAATATTCTTCAAAAGTTTACCCATATCAGTGTAAATTTTTGTTTTTATTTTTTTATTGAAAGTCTAAATAAATCAGGAAGTACAAATTTCAGCATAACAATTTAGAGGATAGTGTCTTAATTATAAATGTCATACGACTTATGAATATCTTAAAAGCATTTATCATCATGGTTAAAAGGAAAAATATTGAAATAATTTTGAAATAATAATAAAAATTTTTTTCAATGTCATTGCAATAATTGGTTTTACCTTCTAACATTTTTATCTTTTTTGTAAAAAATAAACCACTTTGCCCTATTAAATTCAAAGTTTCATGAACTAGGCAGCTTAATAACTCGTTTTGTTTGTGTTTTCCAATCAAACACATCCCAATCGATACCGATTTTCCGTACAGTGGAATGCTTTTTGATTAAATCGTCGTAGCTACTAATTTCCACGAAACACAAATTTTTTATAACGCTGAAGATGCGATTAGGCGAAATAAAAGAATGACAGATGATGTAAACTAACATTGTCATCGTATTCATATTTTTGTTGTGTATGCCGCTACCATCAGCGAAAAAACGTACTATGCTGACATCAAAATAAAAATTCTTTAGAGCATGTTGCATAGCTGATGCTAAGTATTGTATTAGAATCTTTTCGAGAGTCAATTTTTGTCCACACGTAAGAAAACACATTTCTTAATTTTGGTTTATCTGTAGAAGTTCCAGCAACAACAACTGCAAAAGTATTTAAGTTTATTTGCTGGTCTCTAAAGTATGCTGCTTGAATAGACAATCTAGACAGTGCCAAGTTTTTTTGGCAGTTGAATGAAAAGTAAGTTTTGTTAAATTTTGGATTGTTAAAGAGTTTGATAAAACTTTGCTTTTGCGATATGAACACGATGCTCAGTGGCTAACTTTTGCTGAACAGCTGCAACTTTCACCTACTTCTTGGAGTTAACATTCACATTCTTTCTAAAATAACTCTCTAAAATCTAAAATACTAAATAAGTATATAAGTAAAAAAACTCTAAAATAGTTTTACATGTATAGGCTGAGGCACTCTCCGAAGATAACGCTCGAAAAGTTTCTTAACAGTCCAAATTCAAGTCACATGGCAAGTTGACCATCACGCTTTTCTTCTGCGGTAATGAGATTCGGTATGTAATGGATTTTATAAATTTTTTGATGCAGTTTCTTTTTTATCATTTTTTGGATCCACTCTATTACCACCTCTACGTTCTCAAGGTAGCTCCCCAGTAACAACAAAATCTCTTGAAATTGCATTTTACGGTCCTTGCTTAAATTTGTGATTCCTAGATACGACTGGGCACATATTCTAATCATCTCTTCCTCATTCAAACGTACATGGTATTTTGTCGACTCTGGAACATGATTAGATTTCCTCTTTCTTAGGTTTTTGTCCCTTATAATAGGCCAATACCAGAAGGTCCTGTTTACTTTTATCTTTTGAATATTAAAAGCATGAAAATCTTTCAAGATTTTCATGCCTATCACAAGTTGAAAAGGCCAGCAGTGCCATTTTATCCTTCGATTCTTAATTTATATAATAAAAACAAAATAAACTTAAAAAACAAAATATCCAAGATTTTGCCAATTAGCGACTTCTATAAATAAATTCCTCATATAAAGACAGAAAGAATACAAAAAATAAGTAATTTTCAAAATATGTGAACAGTAGCTAGATCATTCTGTATTTATTGTCTTACCTGAGGTAGCAGAGGGTGGTCCAAGTAAAATAAATAAAAACCTTGTTGGCACTGGAACTTCAGTCAAATCTCCCAAAACTGTAGCTGTCGTGAGTCTAACGAAAGCGGAGATTGTCTTTTCAAGGAATCCCACCTCACCCACCAATATATTACTGGCTTCCGCTCCTGGAGGAATCTTTCTCATGAATCCTAAATTATGTTGAACTTCTGAGAGATCTCCTGAGCTATGATTTCTGTGTATAGACACGTAACTTGAACTTTTTTTCATTGATGATGTTTTTTCTTAAAATAAAGTTAAATTATTTTCAATCTAAAGGTTTAAAGTGATTTTAAAATATTTTAACAGGTTTCCTGCCATGAGTACCACATGTGGTACTCAGTTAACTTACCATTTATGCTACAGCTCTTCTAGAGCATGTTGACCCATGAGGCCACGACGATTTTTATTAATTATTTTAATTTAGGTTTTTGTAACAATATTTTGGGGGTCAATTACTATCTTTTTAAGTATTTCACGCCGTTTTGAACCTGAGTACCTATGCTCACGGATATCTGATCAACCCAAGCTCAACCTGGGATATCTGTATCCTCAAAAGACGTTATGGAATTAATGGAGCCATATTTAGATTTTGATAGAACACTATATGCGGACAACTGGTATAATGGTGTCACTTTTTAGCCTTTTTAGTAGAGACACTTCGAGCCAATATGAAACGCAATCCAATTGATGTTAATAAAATAAAACTAAAAAAAGGTGATATTGTTGCAAGGCAAAATGATAATGGTGTAATGGTTTTAAAGTCAAGGGATCGTCGAGATGTGCTTACTATAAATTCGAAGCATATGTTTTCTATGGTAAATGTGATACAAAGAAGAGAAGACAAACTTAAACAGCAGGTTGTAGTAGAATATAATGCAAGAAATTCCTTCATAGAGGTCATTGAAATGGTACCGAAAAGTTGAATTTGATATTTAACTAAATGTTGTCGTTGTAAGTGCCCTGTCACTATATTTTAAAGTGACAAATAAATCAATAAATATAACACAATTTGCAGAGGAAATTATCAAAGATATGCTTATTAAACGCGATTGTGTAATGCCTGCTAATAATTTATACAATTTAGTAAAACGTCTGAAAACAAAACCGCTGCAACCAACGCTATAGGAATATTGTTAAAAGCATGGAAGACAAACAGCACAAAAAGATACTCTACGTGTGAGGACAAATTGTTTTGCTTTCGAAAAATATTAGTGTTTTGACTGTTTTATATGGTGCATGCTGCCAAACTACAGTAATTCTTCTTTATTAGCATTTATCTAAGTTGTAGTTATGTTTTGTACGGTTTTTTAGAATTAAGCTACTTGTTAAATAAATATTTAAGCTAAAAAAGTGTTTTTATTACACTTTGGTAAACGAACTTTATAAAAAAAGTAGCTAAAGCTGAAGTAGCTAAAGCGGCTAAAATCATGGAACGGTTTTCTGAGGCCAAAACTTTAATTTATCCAAATAAAATGTACAAGCCGAGTGCCTGCTTAGGTACACGGCATGCACTTTTGTAAATTATACTGAGTACCATATATGGCGATCAATATTTGAACTTATCTTCTGGACTGAGTACCATATGTGTTACTCAAATGACTCTTTGGCAATGCAAGGAAAAAGAGGCTGGCAGTCAACCTGGTAAACAAATAAATCGATACAATAAAATTAAATCTTAAAAATATTACATACATTTGCTTAAATGACAAAAAACAGTTAAAAATATTTAAAAAAAAAATAAGTAGTTTCAAAACAGTTTTACTGTTTTTAATAAATTAAAGACCTATTTTCTTTTTCGATTGCTTTTTTCAAATACAGACATAATTTCTTTGTTAATTTAGTTTTTAAAGTTGGAAAATAAATATTTCGTGGTTCTCACATTATTCCTTTTCTAATAATTCCAGTTGTAGTCATTTTCTTCTTCTAGGATAATTATACTTAAAAGATTAAAGTAAAGAATAAGATATACATATTTAACCAACAAAGGAGAAATACTAAGATTAGGAGACTTACGAATATAATTCAAAACTTTCAGGATTAAATCTAGTAAAAGATTAAAAAAACCATAAGGTAACACATTCAATAAATTACTTTTATTATTATCGGTATTTTAAAACATGCAACATATATGTCTAAAATATTACAAAAAATAATAATAATAGTAAAGGATAATTTCTACGACACATAATGATGACATACATATAGCGAAAATGTTAACAAAGGCAAATTTTAACTATAAAAACAAAACAGAACTAAAAAAAGACAAGTTTCAACTATAAAAAGAAAACAGAACTAAAAAAAGACAAGTTTCAACTAGAAAAACAAAACAGAACAAGCAGAAGATCTAAAGTGCACAATAAATTTAAGATTTATACCCTGTCCAGGAATGCTTAAGAATTTTCCGCCTTCCGATTTTACAGATGACTCTGAGAAATGTTCATCAACTGAAAATTAAATGGATATTTTTATAATCATTCGTATACAAAAAGTACAACAAGTTTATTAGATTTATTTAGAATATAATTAATAAGTTGTACATTATTTTATCTACATAGTTATTGGGCGGAACTTAGGAATTATTGATAAAATTAGGATACAAATGAGTGAAAGTAAATTTAAATTAATAAAAATGATTCGCTGAGATGTTTGTACGGGCATCATTTCAGAACCACTGCACCAAATTGGATAATTATTTTTTTTGTAGTTTGTTATTTTATCAGGAGAAGGTTTGTGTAAAAGAGGATTATCAAAAAATTGTACGGAAATACCGAAGAAACAGTTTTTCTGTCAAAAAAAGAAGCTAGGATTAACAAAATAAAGGTCAGTATTGATAGATTGGATAACAGTCACACACATATATATATATATATATATATATATATATATATATATATATATATATATATATATATATATATATAATAATAAAGTTAAAAGGTATCGGAATAGCTCGCAACAAAGGAAAGAAATATGTGTATAAGATGGAAGGCAATCCCTTCATAAACCGCTACAAAGGGTTGCTAAAAAAGACCAAGAAACTTTAATGAGCACACTAGGTCGTACAACAATATCACAAAAGTATTCAGAATGGTGGTAGTCCACAGACACCATCTTAATAGGCAACTATATCGGGCTCAAATAAACCTGATCAGTAGCAAACTGGAACGAGTAGTAGATGAGAATCCTATTGGAAGACAATATCAACTCTTGCAGTTTCGTAAAACGAACCCTGTGAGTAAACTAAGGATTACCAATGCTATATAGACTTCTACAGAATAAGTACAAATGTCTTCTTTAAAGTTTGCATCTAATTATAACTTCTGATGCTTTTTCGACTTATTTTGAAAAATCATTTGTAGTGTTCAACTAGTAAGGGTTCTAAATATCAAATAGTGATATAAATATCTAGTGTTGAAATCTGAAGGTCTTTGATTCTTGAGTATGATATATAATACGCTAGGCAATCGTGGTAATTAATCAATATTGTTGCTGTTTTAAAAAAAATTACGAAACAATATAATCCTAATAATCCCAAAGTTGCAGAGGAAATATTAAAAAGATATGAGAGTTTAGAAGATGTTGATACTTGGCTCAGGAAATTGACCAGCGTAACTAAGTTTAACACACTTTGCATTATCCAAATAACGGAAATAATTCTGACAGATATGATGATGGAAGTAATGAGTTAGACCAGTCCAATTACACTTTTCAAAGTATTGGCCAAGGTACACTATTTCAACGCATGGATAATACCGCTGTTTCTAAAAATAATACAGCAGTTGAGAAAACAAATTGCTGTCAAATACAACTGTGACTGAAACTTACGAATCAGGTTACAAATGAAAAAGGGAGGTTGCAGAAATTTCACAAGATTCTAAAAACAAAGAAAAATCTATGGAAACAATCGATTGTAAGTTAAAAGAAAAAAACTGGTAAAGGGAGTCATAAATGATATTTTCAAAAACAATATGGAACCCCATATACCAAATCAATGAAAACAAGAAAATTTGAAGTCAATCGATGTATTTAAATTATTTTTTAATAGATACCTCTGGATACCACCCATTACCTTCTAGGATAATTTATTGGGAATGTCTAGGCTCTATGACTCTCACTAACATCTAGTTAGTAATACTTTGAGTCGAAGCAGATTTGAACAGATTCATAGACTTTTACACTTTAACGATAATACGTTGTACCAACAAACCAATAAAGCGTTCAAAGTTCAACCCCTAATTCGTAATTGACCATCTAAATGAACATTTTCATCATTACCTCCAGCCAGTAAACGAACGTTCCTCAGTGGACAAAGCCATGGTGCCTTATTATGGAACATCATTTAATGAATCAGTTTATTCGAGGAAAACCCATCCGTTACGGAAACATTGTATCGGCAAATTCCTATATTAGAAAAGATAGGATTGAAAGAACCCCACTCAAAGAAATAAAAAAACAAATTTGCGGAACTTCCCACGCTCTACATAGCGAAGAACATCATCTCACTGTTGTTCGCTGGAATGACAATAATGAAGTTAGTATGACAACTAATATTTCAACTCCAGAAATATTTACTATAGGAAACTGTAACAGATGGGCCAGAAAAGACAGAAAAATTATAGCGGTCTCTCAACCAAGCGTTGTGCAAATGTATAATAAGAGAATGGGTGATGTACACTTATTCATTAAGCTAAGAGGTTTATGTAGGATTCGAATTCGATCTAAAAATGGTATTGGACGATATTTAGATTTTGCTTGAATGGGGCAATTGTTATCATGTGGCTTCTTTACCGCAACATTGAGGCAATTTCTATATTAGAATTTTACAGGCGAATTACGTCAAAAAAATGCAGTTGCAAAGAAAAAGAACATAAATTTTGCACTGTGCTATTAAAAAAAAGTTCTCATTATGAAGTTTTTCGTAATACGCGTATACGTGTATATTTTCAGACTTTTTAAATGCGTAATTAAACGAATCCTAGTTATAGTATACTGATACATGTTTTACCTACTTCAATATACGTAAATCTGTCATGCCCTTTTATATAATTATTTTAAACTTACTTTTTGAAGAAGATTGTGTTTTCATTTCATTAAATGACCGTATAAATGGCAATGCATGCTGTTTTCTCTGATGCTGATGTCGATGTCGTTTCATTAAGGCTTCCCTTACTTTCGCTTTTTTATCAAAAGGCAAACTGTTATTATTAATCAGATTATCCAAAACCAAGTCGGCAATCTGCTCTAGAGACATTGCTTCCATATCTAAAATGACGGTTCCGTTAAGTAGTAAACTTCTTAATTCAAATAACGAATGTAGGGAAAGAGTAGCAACGTGCGGTTTTGACCATCGATTGCCACCTTCTTCGACGTCTTCTTCGAACTTAATCCATCTGGCTGTTTCTCTCCATTCCATTTCATCGCCATCCACCACCAACTCTTCCATTTCTGAGAAAAGCGGGTGGATTTCATGTTTGTCGTTATTTGCATCTTCACCAAGAATAAATTGAACCCTTTGTGATGGCGGGGTACCTGAAATAGGACATTATTTAAAATTTAGTCAATTTAAAAATAATTATGTACTGATATCAAAATAAATAAGCCAATTTGCCAATATTACAAAAAAAAATTACTATTTGATTCTAAATATATGTATGCAGTTGTTTTATAAAAAGCTGTATGCATGCATTGATCAAACAGTAGCCAAAAGACAGTCGAGGAATGTATGTACAAACAGGTATCTTACTTTCCTTACTTCAGAACTTATATCGAAGATTAAACGTAAGAATCGTCTTCATAGGCAGGTAAATAACTCTGCAAATGCTTTGGTTTTGGCTGAATATAAATCACTGAGACAAAAGGTGAAACAGCTTAGTAAGAAAGCATATAGGTATCACAATGAAAATATTAAGAATAATATACAAAATGACCCTAGTAGTTTTTGGTCCTTTATAAAATTCCGTGGTGTAAATAATACCATTCCAACAGAGGTCTCTTATAGGGGGTGGACATAAGTGGCTGTCTGGATATTGACAATGTTTTTGCTTTGGCTCTGTATTTTAAAGATCAAATAATAGTCTTAATAATAAACTGAATCAGGAGGTTTTTACTTTTTTAAAATAACAGTTGAGAATATTCTCCAAAGCATTAAAAGACTAAAACCAAAAAAAGCCACAGATAATGACAATATACTAGCATGCATTTTTAAAAGGTTGTGTAAAGACTCTTTCTGTCCTCTCACACTAATTTTTAATTTGTCCCTTAAACAAAGTAAATTTCCAGATAGCTTAAAGCATGCAGTTATAACAATTATATTTAAATCTGATAATGCTGGTAACGTTGAGAACTATAGGCCTATATTTGTTATCAATTCAATTGCTAAGATATTCGAGAATGTACTTTATAACAATATTTTGAATTACTTTGGAGATAGGTTATGTTCATAACAACATGGTTTTTTTCTCAGGGAAGTTCACTGTGTCCAATTTGTGCGTTTTTACAGCAGGGGCTATAAATAATAAAACTCAGTTAGATGTCATTTTTACCGACTATACCAAAGCTTTTGATAATATTGATCACTCTATACTTATTGAAAAGCTAAGCAAATTTGTTTTGATTCAGAAGCATGTATGTTTATATATATATATATATATATATATATATATATATATATATATATATATATATATATATATATATAGTCCCAAGATTCCTAAGAGGAACATAGGGCATCCACAAAGTGTCTCCAGCGAACTCTATTTCTGGCTAGTGCTTTGATTTCAAGCCAGGATTTTCCCATTTTTCTCCCTTCGTCCAGTACTGTCCTTCTCCAAGTTCCCTTAGGTCTGCCTACTTTTCGTCGGCCTTGGGGATTCCAATCCAGCGCTGTCCTGGCAATGTCATTTGGCGGTCTACGGAGTGTGTGGCCCAGCCATCTCCATTTTCTTCGCCTTATTTGCTTTATGACATTTTCTTAGTTGCTTTGGTTCCATAAATTTTCATTGGAGATTCGGTTAGGCCAAAATATACGAAGGATTTTTCGTAACGCTCTATTGATGAAAACTTGTAATTGGTGTACTATGGGTGCTGATATCTTCCACGTTTCGCAGCCATACAGTAATATAGCTTTTACATTTGTGTTGAAGATTTTTAATTTCGTTTTAGTTGGGTAAATCCTGGATTTCCATATGTTGTTAAGCATGTTGTAGGCGTTGCGAGCCTTATTTATTCTTTCATGTACATCACGCTCTGTACCCCCATTACAGTCAATTATGCTGCCCAGATATACAAATTCCGCTACTCTCTCAATTTTCTGGTCGTTGATCATAATAGGTTGGTTGTTTATGTATGTTTATGAGGTCATATCTTTCTGATAGGTTAAATCAAGTTAAAGTGGGGAATAGTTTATTTAAGCCATTGATGTCGACATCAGGTGTACCACAAGGTAGCAACTTGGATCCTCCTCTGTTGGCTGTATTTATTAATAATTTGCCTCAGTGTGTGAAGTTTTCAACAAGCCTGCTATTAGCAGATGATTCTAAGATTTTTCGAGACATTTCAACTCTGCAAGACTCTAAGATGCTGCAATGCGATTTGAACTCAGTAAATCAATGGTTCGATGATAACAAAATACTTCTAAATGTCATGTTTTTATTATTATCACTCGAAAAACACAGTACATGGAGAACCAATACAAAATTTCTAACACTGTACTTGGAAGAAAGAAGACTTGCAAAGATCTTGGGAGTAATGTTTCAGCAAAATTTGAGATTTAATGAACATGATTGGGCCATCATTGGAAAGGCATACAGAACTCTTGGCTTCATAATTCGTAATTCAAAATTATTTAAAAGATTTGAAACTATAATATCATTATCCAATGCACTAGTAAGACCTCACTTGGAGTATGCCTCTATTATATGGGCACCACAAGCCGGATTCAATGTTGATGTGATTGAAAAGGTTCAAAAACGATTCTTGAGGTTTCTTTATGTCAGAAAGTTTGGTATCTATCCATACGTACATACATACACCGGTATTTAGGCGGCACACCCTTCGGGTAGGTGTCTATGGAGGAGTATCACCGAGCCGCAAGCCCTTATCTCTTGCCGTACTGCTCCACCATAAGCCGATCAGATACCAGCATATTATAGTGTAAGCCCGCAGATTCATCTAGAATAAACTGCTGCGTTAGCCTTTTTATTTTCTGTACACCGATCGAACCCACATCCACTGAACCACTCGCAGTGAAGCGAATGAGAACCGGCCGCCCAGCCCGCTTGGCTATCTGACCGATCCTAAAATGCTATGTTAACTTGTTTTAAAGTTCAGCGACTGGATAATAGAAGAACTATGAACATTTACTATGTTAAATCACATTAAATATAAATATTGCTTTTTTATAAATAATATTAAATTTAATGTTCCAAAAATACATCTGAGAATTAATAACAACCGACTATTCTAAACTAATAAGACTGATTGTTCACCTATAAATAAGATGTTAAAAGAATGTAACCATGTGCTAATTAACTGTGATAAAGACTTTTTAAATTCTTATGTGAAACAAATGAAAGTTGTTTTTGAAACAAATTTCTAGTCTGCAAAAGTTGTCTTAAAATTTAATTTAGATGTATCTATAGTGTTTTTTACTTGTTTTATTCTATCTAGGGTTAGTTTTTAATATAGTTTAGTTTCTAGCAGTAGTAAACACTCTTTTAATGTAACAACAATCATTTTGTGTTTTAAAGGAGGTTAAATAAATAAATAAATAAATAAATAAATAAATCAATACATAATAAATAAATAAATAAATAAATAAATAAATAAATAAATAAATAAATAAATAAATAAATAAATAAATAAATAAATAAATAAATAAATAAATAAATAAATAAATAAATAAATAAATAAATAAATAAATAAATAAATAAATAAATAAATAAATAAATAAATAAATAAATAAATAAATAAATAAATAAATAAATAAATAAATAAATAAATAAATAAATAAATAAATAAATAAATAAATAAATAAATAAATAAATAAATAAATAAATAAATAAATAAATAAATAAATAAATAAATAAATAAATAAATAAATGAATGAATAAATAAATAAATAATAAAATTATATTCAGTCGAAAAACATTTTTACGACAAAATATATTACCGGGCGGATCTATTTTGAGGTGAATGTAAGAGGTGACACTCAGATTTTTGCAGAAATAGTCAAATAATAATTTCAGTAATATTATTTGACTTATCCTCCCTCTCACATAGTTGGGGAACATTTATAATAGTACTCCAATTCTCTTTGGTAGTCTTATCGCTACATCCTAAGTACATGGATACCATTGTTACCACAAGTGCCCAAAACAGACCTCACGGTCTGTGAAATTAAAAGTACGAGATACAGAAGGGACCAACGAATTTTATTCTCAATTTTCAAATTGCATCATTTTGTCTACAGTGTTGATGCTCCCGGGCTCCCGGCAGTATTCGAGCTAGTGAATGGAGGCTAATATACATTAATGCAATGCAAAATTAACATGCAATGTCACAGTTAAAATGCCAACTCACAAGGCGTATAAAAAAGACCCAATTTCAATACTAGGGGCCAAACAAGAAAATTTGACCACACTGTTTCAATGGGTATAGGAACCGTTCAAACCATTTTAGGAAAATATTATTCAAAAAATCAAAGAAACTCACAAAATAATCTGTATAATATTAAAATTGTTTAGTAATAAATAGTTTTGTATTAAAACTTGACATTTCATTACTGAAACAACCCAAGTCCATTTTAAAAATGTTAATTTAAAGAGCTTAGTAATGATTTAGAATGCTTTTGTTTTTGATAAATTCTTATATAAGTGTAATCTATTAACTTCAAACTTCACTTTTAGTGAAAATGTTCAGATAAACTCTCAAAACGTTTTTTTTTTTTCATCTATTGCAAACTGTCCGAATGTGACTTGGGTTGTTTCTGAAATAAGCGATTTATGTGTTAAATATAAATTAAAATCCTCAAAAAGTCTATATATAACGAGAATGTATAGTATATTCTCATTTAACTTTATTATGTTAACAAACAAAAAATATTAAAGACAACTATCTTCTTTCTGTAAGTAATTGGTTAGAAGCACAAGTATATTTCCTCGCATTTTTTGGATTGTTGAGTAATAAAATTCCATACAGATCATTCTTATTTGTCTGTGAATGTTCTTTGGGAATTATAGCATTTTTATTGTCATCCCTGACCTAAAGCCACTTCACTCATACCAAAATAAAATCATTGAACAAAGCTTTTCTATAATAAGAAATAAACCTTGACCTTCATCAGATTTACTTAAAACATTATTGTTTTATATAAGATATCAAAACAGATTAATGTTTTATTTAGACGACTGTAAATAGTGATAAAGATTACAACTGTTTGGGTGATAATATAAGAATGAAATAAGGTATTAATGTATGGTGTAAAATTAAGACAATGATTATCAAGATATTATCAGCAACAACGATCGACT